ACAAAAGAGAGATAAAATTAGGCATACATTCCAGGAAAATGTAGAAGGCAACATTGCAGAAAGACCTTGTAGAAGATAGATAAAAGAGAGGCAGACTAACTAGAAGCAGGGAAACAAGGAAGGAGGCTTTTGGAATAAAATAAGCTCTAACATAAAAGTGTTCCTCTTTAGGCGCAAGGCTGGAAGACAGGATGATACAGTGGCTAAAAGCTAGGACTTTCACCAGCAGACTTGGACTTATACACTTAATATCTGTGTGAAGTTTGGATGGTCAAAAATTACACTGAACATTCTCATCCAGTAACAAGGAAAATAAACCCAACAAGTTCTCTGCGTTTAAGACTTGGTATGACAGGAGCCTAAGCTAGCTACCCATGCCATCTCTCTAAGACCCTCCTTCTTTCTCTCCTGTTGGTTTGCTGTTTGCATCTATCCCATTCTTCTTTCTCTCTCAGTCGATCTCTCTGATTCCTCAGTGTCTTCTTCCTCACAGTGTGTGTTGACCAAGGGACATCATGGCCCTGTAGGCCTTTTACTACCTAAAAGAAAAGAAAGTGAAGTTGCTCAGTCATGTAAGACTCTCTGTCACCCCATGGACTGTAGCCTACCAGGCTCCTCTGTCCGTGCGATTCTCCAGCCAAGAGTACTGGAGCGGGTTGCCGTTTCCTTCTCCAGGGGATCTTCCCAACCCAGGGGTGGAATTCCGGTCTCCCGCACCGCAGGCAGGCGCTTTACCATCTGACCCACCAGGGAAGGCCTGCTTTCTGCGGAGTGGTAAGGTTCCTCAGGGTACCGTGGGTCATTTTGACGAGAATAAAGGCGTGGCTGGCTCTGCTCCTTTCTTCTCATTTGCCTCAGTCATATTCCCATAACTCTTCAGAGTTTTAACTGGCCCTAGAATTGGAGTGGTCAAATAGAGGGAGGCTATGGAGAACAATAAGACCCACCTTAGAGCTTGTGGGAAAGACAGTTGACTTTACAAGGGGTGATGGAAAAGCATACCAAGTACCTGTATCAAGGACGACCTGCAAGGGGAAAACTCAAGGAAGAATTATGAAATCAGAGCAGCTACATGTAGTGATCCGATAGAGAGAAAAGACTATGAACAGGGAGGTTTCAGATGTGAGCCAGTAACTAACTGGTATGTCATCTATCGAAACAGAGAAAACAAGAAGAAAGGTCTTTTGAGGAGTTCAAATTTGAACATGTAGGTCAACTTTGTAGAAAATCTGAGTGGTTAACTACATATATTTTTAGCTTTTAAGACATATTTGGACTAAAGAGAGCCATTAATGACCACTATCTTCTTTGGATTCTTGGGTTCTTTCACTTTAGTCTGCCTTCTTTGTCTTCTGTACTTCTTCCTATTTGCCTACTCTTCTCTTTTCCCTTATGTGATCTCTTTGGGGGTCATGTGTTTCTAGAAAGCCAGTCCTGATTATTTGTCATTCTCTCTCTGTATTCCATTGCATTATCTCATGAACCATAAATTAAGAAATGTCATATTCATGCTTGTGACTTAAAATCTATTATTTTCAAACACATATCCAATTGCCTACTTGACTTCTTCATTTAAATATCTAAATCATCTCTCTAACTTTTGACTTGAACCTCCAACAGCCCATCCACCCCAGTCATCTTTGTCTATTTATGCAGCACTATTATTCTCTCATTTACAAAGTCAGAGCTTGAGGATTTTTCTCCCTGCAGTCTTTTCTTTATTCCACACAGCCAACCCATTAGCAATACCTATCAATTCTATCTCTGGAATATATCATGATTCCTTTCCATCTCTACTGATGCAATCTTAATCCATACTACTGATAAAAATATTTTTAATTGAATTATTCAGTGGCTTCCTATTTCACATAGAAATGTTCTAGCTATTTAACAAGATTTTTCTCTTTCAAGCTATCTTCAATGGGTTGGCTCTTATCAGTTATACAAGTCACAATTCACCTGTCACCCAAATAAAGAGATCTTTCTTATCTCCAGTGAAAATAAGCCCCAGTCCACTCCAGCATTGTGATATTATTGGTTTTCTTTTGTATTTTATAACACTTTTCTTTTTGGAATTATCTTTGTTCTTTTGCTTACTTACGGTCAATTTTCTTCATACCCATTCACTGTGATCTAATCTCCATGAGTGGAGATGTTGTTTTTCTTGTTCACTTCCACAGTATCACTGAAAATCTATATGATGGGCTTGGATCTTAGCTTGGGTGCACTGGTAAGCCATCAAAGTGATTAAGTTAACAAAGGGGTATGATCTGTTTCCTCTTCTTAAAAGATAGCTTTGGTCTTTTGTTGAAAGTGGATCTTAGAAGAATGAAAATGAGCTCTATCAAGGATCTGGTGCCAGAATTAATGAGTTGAGTCATTCATCAATAAGTTAGTACACATACCAGGTATGCCAAAAATCATCTTTTGAAAATAGGAAATGGGTCACACCACTTTGTTAATTTAATCTCTTTGATGCCTTGTTACTGCATTCAGACTGAGATCCAAGCACATCATATAGGTTTTAGTGCTGCTGTCTTCTTGCTTATTACACCCCATGGATCTTCTTTCAGTTTTTGTTTTTTTGTTTTGTTTTGTTTTTATCATATAGAACTCTTCTTCTTGGAATGCTTTTCTCGGTATTCTTTGCATAGGTATCATCTTCTTTCTTTAAAGTTTGGCTTAAGTGTTACTTCTTTAGAGATGCTTTCCTAATCTCCTTACTTGAAGTAAGTTCCCTGCATGTTTTCTGTTTCTCAGCCCCTGATGTGTTTCCTTCATAGCATTTATTAGTTTTTCAACTACTGCAACTACATATTTGTGTTCTTAATTTTCACCTGTCAGATTCACTTGAATGTAGGATGATAATAGTCTGTCTTGTTCTCCTTAGTTTCCTTAATTTCTAACAAGATTCTTGGGACACTGAAGGTACTCAAAAAAAGCTGTTTTGATTTAAAATGATAGCAAATGATAGCTCTTGGTAAATAAGATAAGGCTGTTTACAAACTAGAGACTCTACAAACTAGAGACTCTGAAAACTAGAGACTCTTATAAACTAGAGACTCTACAAACTAGAGACTCTGCAAACTAGAGACTCTTACAAACTAGAGACTCTGCAAACTAGAGACTCTGCAAACTAGAGACTCTACAAACTAGAGACTGCAAACTAGAGACTCTATGAACTAGAGACTCTGCAAACTAGAGACTCTTACAAACTAGAGACTCTACAAACTAGAGACTCTGCAAACTAGAGACTTACAAACTAGAGACTCTGCAAACTAGAGACTCTGCAAACTAGAGACTCTTACAAACTAGAGACTCTGCAAACTAGAGACTCTACGAACTAGAGACTCTACGAACTAGAGACTCTGCGAACTAGAGACTCTACGAACTAGAGACTCTGCAAACTAGAGACTCGCCTGAAGATACACTTTTTTGGTTGTTTTAGGCCAGTTCTGGTTTTGATTTTTTTTTTTAAGATTCCCTTAAGTATAACATGAGTGCTAGTTTATTATAGTTCTCATCTAGAACAGTACTGAAATATTAAACAACAAGGAAGGCCTTTCATCTATTGGAAAGGACACAAGATACTTTGTCAGATATTAAGATATTATTTACTTCTCCAAATATTAACCTCAAGAGAAGTTAGTGAGTCAAGAAGCTGCTTGATTATGGAAAGATCCAAAGGACCAGGGGAAAAGGACTTGGGCAGAGGAGCGTGGACCACCTTTAAGGCAGTAGATGTTTGCTGACTTTGTGGATGTGTCTCAGAATATTTGTGTACCAGTGTCGCTCCGCTTCTGTCCTCTCTAGCGTGGCCCTTGAGTTTGTGACACCACTCTGCCCCTCCCCTGCGTGAAATAAGAAGAGAAGGTGCAGAGAACAGAAGCATAGGGCGTGCCAACCTTCAAGGACTGAATAAAGTAAATGAGCAGAGAGGGAGCAGGTGGAGAAGAAAGAGAATCAGCAACAGCAAAACGGTTTTCCAGCCGCTCGGGGAGAACATTCTTTAAGTGGCCAACCCTGTCAATCGATAGGGGTGGAAAACTGTAGGAATTGGTGACTTCGTGACAAAAAGTATCAGTAGCAATACGTATTTGGAGAAGGCAATGGCAGCCCACTCCAGTGTTCTTGCCTGGAGAATCCCAGGGACGGGGGAGCCTGGTGGGCTGCCGTCTATGGGGTCGCGCAGAGTCGGACACGACTGAGTGACTTAGCAGCAGCAGCAGCAGCAGCAATACGTATTAAATCAACTTTTCATGGAAAGAGAAATTGTTGCAGACTACTTAAGTGCATACCAAGGAGGAGAGTGTTTACACAGTCCGCCAAGGGTGGAGGGCATGAGGAAGTGCATTGTCTGTAGATAATTTCGAAACAGCCATAAAGCTGACTACAATTCATCTTTTTTTAGTATTGCCGTACTCTGACAATTCTGAGCAAGATGAGGATTAAAATTTTTCTCCCTTCAGTCACCACTCTTAAAGAGAAGGATAGTGTAACAGCTAAAAGAGGGCATTGGGTCAAAGGAGGATGACTTTATAGGACTAGAGAGACTTGTGAATGTTTGTATAATAAAAGGAAAGGACCAGCCTAGAGGAAGTGTTTTAACAGAGTAGAGGCTGTAATCAGTACGGCGATCTGAGGTCATATAGAATGCCCAAGACACAGGAGTGATTTTAGCCTCGAATAAAAAAATAAGGCTAGAGGAAAACATTCTTGACCTTTAATTCAAACTGTTCCCATATGCCAAATTGTAGATCTTTTTTATTTCTTAAATTAATTCACAAATTCCGATTGCATTATTAAATAGTTTTTCATTATGTCCACTTTTGAAAATAGCATTGATGTTTCAAAAATGGCATAAGTATTCCAGATGTGACTGCTGCTAAGTTATTTCATGGCTTTCATGTAAAAGAATTTTAAATGCATTGTGTTAGTAGATATATTATAATTTCTGACATTAAATTAGTATATTCTGCATTTGCACTTATTTCATACAGGTAACAAATATTGGGTGTTCAAGGACACGACTCTTCAACCTGGTTACCCTCATGACTTGATTACTCTTGGAAGCGGAATTCCCCCTCATGGTATTGATTCAGCCATTTGGTGGGAGGACGTTGGGAAAACCTATTTCTTCAAGGGGGACAGGTCAGTACACACTTCACGTGAGGAAAACAATTAACTGATGTTTAGAGAAGTCAATATCTCTAGTCTATAGCAGGAATGTACATTTGATGAAAGAATCTGTGTGGGTGTAAACACAAGAATTAATAGAATTGAAAATCTCTTAAACATTTTAAAATAATACTGAAGATAAATCTTCCTTTAATATTCCCAAATAATATGGCTTTATGATGAATGTATATATGTAGTATATATTTTTTCTCTTCTCCATAATCATAATATGCCTATAAAACTGTATAGGCAGTACATATTTATCCTTAGAATTCATTTTCTGTAATTTTACTTAATTTACTTAAAAGTGCTTTTTAACACAGGTGTTTTTTTGCTTTTATTTTGAAAGCTAAATTTTTATACTTTGCACACAGTTAATTCTGAACATTTTCAAATAACTTCAGTTTTGTCATGAGTTCCATTTCTTAAGACACTGTTATTTAGGTACCAGCAGATAGGTGCTATGAACTAACCAAACTATCCCCTGACTAAATACTTCTAGCTTGAAGTATAATGCCTCTTGTTATTTTCTGTCACATCTTTTATAACTTTACTAACAGGGTTAGTAAAACTTGAAGTGAATTGTTAGTCTCGTGATGTACAGTAGCCACTTGATGCTAGTTTTACCCCTGCCCACTTGTTGACAGATATTACATATAAAATCAAAGTTGAAGGCTACAATTTTATTATTTTAAATTAGCAATAGGTTAAAAATAAAGATGAAAAATCAAATTTTAGTTGCACTATTACTAGTTGTATCAAAATGTGACATTCATAAGTAAACTTCATTGGTAGGTAGAACTTAAGTCTGTCATTTTACAAGTCGTAAAGCACAGCAACTCACAAACACACATTGAAAACAACAGGTTTTAATGACCAACTAGTTAGTATTGAATTTGCCTTATAATCTTAACATAATGTAACCCTATAAAATGTCTCTGACTACTTGAGAAAAGTAAGGATATAAACCTTATTTATTTTGCACTTTGTAATATTTGATAGCAAGTGGTTTGAAACATTGAGCTTTATCTGTGAACGAAAAGATTCTATCGTTTGCATTCATGGATAAAAATGTATAATTTTACATTTATTTGTTATGAACTTTTTATGCATTAAATTTGCATATATTTCTATAGCAAAATATTCATAGATTTTAATTCACTATCAAGAAGCTAAAGTTTTGCTAGATGTTTCTTACTAAATCACAACTTCATCAAAAAAACTCTATCATAGCAGAAGATATTAGTTATCACAAAAAGTTATGACTTTCAGCAAGATAGAAATGTGGTTAGAGTATGAAAAGAGAAGAATGAAGAAATTGACTGCCATAGCATGGTGACCGCTAATGGAAATAAATCAGTGGACTTACAGCAAACTCTGTAAATTAATAACCCGCAAGGCTGTTAGAGAGTAATTCTTCAGCTGCTTTTAATTGCTTGAATGTACTCTTTTAGGATTATGCTCAAAAGTGAATGGTGTTGGTTTCCACCCCCCACCTCCAGAAAGGGGTAGAAACAAAAGGTTGAGAAGAGACCCTGGAGAAATTAACTGCTCCAGGACAGAGCATGAAAGCTTAGCTTTCATATTACAGTTTTAATGAGCATTTCAGAGATGATAATTAAAGCTGTGGTTTTACTATCAGTTATGACAAGGTGCATGCAGAATATATAAAACATATAGAAATACTTTGATTTTAAGTTCTGCTTAAGTAACTGCTTTTATAGATTTTGAAAATATTTAAAGCAAGATCCCAATTAATTTTCATGTGTGCGATTTTATGAGTTCATTTGTCATAGATGTTTTATAAGAAGACTACTTCATATTTGTATATTTAATTCCAAAGTCACAACATTTATTAATATATTCTTTCTAGATTATAAGTAGATGGAAAAGACATTAAACTAACTCAAATGTAAAAAGCAATCCAGTTGTCACTTTTATATGAAAATTCAGTGTATTTCTTCATTATAGACATTATTTACTTACAATACTTATCACTTTTAACATTTTATGTATTTCCCATGTATATTTTGAGAGAAAATGTATTGAAAATTCATTTATCCTTATTTCTTCCTCTTATTTTATTGACATTTTCCTGTTTAAAAAATGTGTTAACAGTCTTCTATTTCTCTAAGTATAAGATCAGAAAATAATTTTAGAGTTAACCTATTCTAGGTGTAAAAACCTCAGTCACTTTACTCCTTTAGTCGTGTCTGGCTCTTTGTGGCCCCCTGGACTATACAGTCCATGGAATCCTCCAGGCCAGAATACTGGAGTGGGGAACCTTTCCCTTCTCCAGGGGATCTTCCCAACCCAGGGATCGAACCCCGGTCTCCCACATTGCAAGTGGATTCTTTACCAGCTGAGCACCTGGGAAGCCCCAGTTAATTTAAGGTGTCAGGAAAATACTGTACTAGATACAGGATATATCTAAGGCAGTACGGACTGATGGATACTGTGGTGAGCTGCAAACCACACGTATCTAGAAGAGCATTCAAAATCAGAAAAGATTCTGTAATCTGCTAGACAAACAAACCACACCTTTAAATTAGCTTTGGTCTAAACACTGCCATATGTCAGCCCTGTATCTAATTCACTGCCTACCAAAGTCTAGACAGCCTCAGTTACATCCCACAGGCATGCATCCTTCTGTACCTGACCACCTGTGGTGACATTGTCAATATGAGACGGCCCATTCCATTCTCAATGGCTCTAATTCCTGCTTTCTTAAGATTTCTGTACTTGCCTTGGCACATCCCTCACTCATTTATTTAACACATATTTTGAGCACATACTATTGACATGTGCTGGGTAATAAAGATATAGTAGGAAAGAAGATGACAAGGCTTCGGCCCCTATTGTCTTTAGACTCTATTAGGGATATTGTTATAAAGAAAGAAGAAAAAAATGACCCTGATATTTTAACATTGAGAAATGCTCCAAAGAAATAAAAACAGGTGCTGATGTGGTAGTCTCACGGGTGGTAAAGAGTGGTGGGGAGATGAGTGTGTAAGTCAAGAAAGGCCTAAATTGTGAAGGATTGCACTGATGCAGGGACTCAAGAGGGGAGAAATTTCAGTCACATGAAATTATTCAGGCCAGTGTAGTGTAGGCACATGAAATAGCAGTGCAAAAGCAATAATGTTCAAATCAGAAAAAAGCATTGTTGCGAAAGCATAGTGAGTCAGTGGTTGAAGAGGTCCAATAGGTAGGTAAGGACCAGATTATGAGGCATGTTAAGTACAATAGAAAGGCGTTGGAGGGTTTTCAGCAGGAAAGTACATGTTGTGATGTGTATTCAACATCATCATTAGGACCTCTATATGACTAATGGGCTTCAGATGTGGAAGCAAGGCAGTTACTTGGTAGGCTGTTGAAGGAGTACAGGTTGGCACGATCGTAGCAGTGTGCATGGAGCAAAGCGTAGAGCATATGTTTTTTATTTACTCATAGCAAGTTGTTCTTAAGGCTCAGATTTTAGAGGTGAGAAGGACACATCAACATCTAGATTTATCACTGGAATTGAATAGATTGTGCCATTTCTGAAGATGGAACATATAAGGGAAGGGATATTGGGGAAAGGGGGTCAAGAGTTTGAAATGCTCGCTTTTGGTAAGTAGATACCTGTTTACACACAATTGGAGAAATCAAGGAAGTAGTTGGATACCTGAGTTCCCAAGGAAAGGTGGGGTGGGTGGAGGCACAGATCTGAGAGTAATTGACATATAAATTGTATTGCGTGTAGGGGCCCACATGAAATCTCCTAAGTGCAGAAGTGTAGGTGAAATGATGGTTCTTTAAACAGATCTATAAGTTCAGATTAAAAAGTCCAGTTTCACTGTTTCACATACAGCATGGAGCTAAGTCCTTCAGACTCCTACTTGCCCTTTTCTTAATATACTATACATTGATACTTGGATACATTTTGATCTTCATAACATTTAGCTCTAAAATCCCGTCATCCTAAGTCGTCTCATAGCATCTTCTCACAAATATATCCAAGACTCTATTACTATACTTTATTCTAGGATGAACCATTGAGGATTTTAAGAAATGTTCAAAGAAAGAAGACAAAATTTAGATCTCTTTTGGTTTATTTTATTATCATTACCACCAATAATCAAAGAAAACACACCTATTTCTTGTAGCTTAAGTTACGTGTTTATGAAATGATTTCCTTTTTGTGTTTTGAAAATTATCCAGCAGAGTACAAATTGCTATTTTGATTATTTTCCATTTTTAATAATGCTTCTGAAGAAAGAAATTTTGTATTATTATTTGGGCGTGAAAAAAGTGGCCCTTGGTTTTTTGATAACAGAGGGAAGTTTAAAAAAAAAAAGAAAATGAGACAAAGTGGATGAAGTGACCAGGTCATGTGAAATCAACCTTTTTGTTCAGTTTGAGTTCAGGATCCAGAAACATTAAAGTACATCATTTCAGAATATCCTGTTCTATTTATTTGTTCACACAGAGGAATTTAAGAAATTACTGTATCTTCTTACACAGACAACTGTTTTCTCTTATGATTATGAGTCATAATCAGTCTGAAAATGATGAATAAATCCCATTTCTACTCACAGTTTATTTTAGAAGATTGATTTACAATGTGTTTCTCAAAGAACCAGCAATTTAAAGTCATAATTCTACTGCAAAGTTTGTAGATATGTTAGAGGAAAAAGCTATAATATTTATTTACAATAGCTTTCCAAAACTTTTCCATTATAATGTCTAATTTTTAAACCCCTCCAATATATTTACATAATGTTCCATCTGAATACATTAATATTCTTCTCAATGAACCTGTAAGTTTATTTTTCAGGAGAAACAAAATCAGCAGATTGAACATTTTTGTTCATGTTGAAATATGTTACATATGTTGGAAATTAAAATGCAAATCTCATAAGCCTCAGCTTTTTTACAAAGTAGCTGAATGTAATGTCTTTATATAATAATATAATGGACTGAGTAATATTATGGTTGAATATAGTTAGATGAATTTAATCACATTTAAGTTTACTGAGTATGTATCAAAGCTGACAGAGCAGATAACCTGAGGGTCCAAGCCACCTATGAGTTTTTCAAAAACTGTGAAATGAAATTATAGTTTTGCATCATCATCTAGCAAAAAGAGGGGAAAATTGCTTTTATCGTAACAAATTCATATCAGGATTATGTTCCTATGAAGGAGTACAGTGAAATCCACATTCCATTAATATTTTCTTAAACTGTGATCTCTGTAAATTTTATGTGCCTTGCATATCAGTGATCAAAAAATGGTAGGTAAATATATCTATGAGTGAATAGAGTGAGGGATAAAGAAAAATTATATGGACACATGAACATTATGAATTTCAATGAGGGCCCTAAGAGGGTAAGATGGCATGGAGATTAATGTAAGAACACTATGTCAAGGGAAACGCTAGCAGTAATGTGGTGGAAAATTGTAGTAAACTATGAGTCAAAAAGCATCTGAATTTCAACTCTGTAACATTCAAGAAAAGCAAATATATGATTAAGACATTACCTTTGAATAATATGATACCCAATGCTTTATTATTGACTGAATTGAGTGACCATATATATTAAATCTATGGTTAGGACATCAGCATAAGCACATTTTAATCTGTAATATAAAAAATTGGTGATGGATTTTGGTGAAATAAGATTAAAATTATGTATATCTACAAAATGCTACATGAAGAATAGGTCCTGTAACATGAACACTGTTGTAACTAAACCTTGGAGAATAAACATGGTTTCTGAGTATGTAGGAATCTTCCTTAAATCATGTATGGAATGTGGTCCCATTGTCACTGGGATGTAAAATTATTCCTTGGTTAGGAAAACTTTAAAATTTGGTTTAAGTTATGGTTTATGCCAACTAAAAATTTCACTTATTGTAAGTTACATCATTATTTAATCTATCATTGAGGAAAAAACTGCCAAGTATACTTGGACATAGCACTGAGATGTGAAACATAACACAGATGCAAAGTGTGGAAATATATGTATCTTAGAATCTGTGAAATAAGGTATTTGATGATTTCTCTGCAAAAACTTTTCTTTATGGTCAACTCAGGAACTAGTTAGTATATATGACTATTGTAAATATCATTGAAATATTTACTTGAGAGGAAAGATCTGGAGATTTTGAGTGCAATCTCAACCTCCTTAAACATGCTATATTCATCACAGTGTGTTCTGTGATGAAATATTCAAAAATAACTTAAATCTGCCGTTTCCATGGAAAAAAATGTGAATGAAAACGCAGTTTAGTTTTGGTAGAACTTCACACTCCCTAATTGTCTTCTTCAACAAGATAGGCCCAGCTCCCATGAATGATTTCAGCTCAGTGTTTCTCCCCGAAGTCTTCCCTGACCTCTCTATCAGATCTGCTCTCATCTTCTATGTGATAAGAATCTATGACAAACATCTTCACCAAGCGTTTCCCTTTTTGGATAAAATCTGCCTTGTGGCTTATTTATGGGGATACATCCTGAAACAATCTATTTATACTTTGTCTGTGAACACTGAAGCTGGAGGTAGCACTAATATTCCACATGTTACTTATCTAAGGTATCTAGGAATCTGTAGCAAAACATTCTTTACAAGAGCCCACAGTCCTATAGATAAAGGATTCCCCATAGACCTGAAACAGGAGCATGTCCAGAAAAGACTGGATTTTTTTTTTCTTTTCCTGGTTTGAACCAAGTACCCAATCTCAATATAAATGCAAATCATTTGGTGTAACACTCCCTTTGGCATGAACTACGACATGTCTAGTGATGGTAGCGGAGGGAGAAAATGTTATCAAACATATTTGGTATGTGTAAAGAGTAGAAACTTCTGAAATCAAACAGAATGGGTTATAAGTCTACGTATTGTTCATTATCCTCCAAGAATTCTGCTCTCAAGTGGGGTCAATGACAACTGTTTCATGGGTTTATTGTGATTAAATAATTTAATGCACAGAGCATTTTATGCCTGCTCTAAAATAGGCAGTATCACTGTGAACTCCCAATGGTTTCACTCCAGTTTTGTCAATCCTTTTGAATATATAGATACAGCATATTTGAGTCTTAGCGCATATATAAAATAAGGAGTAATCCAAAGTAGAGATGTTCACAGTTTGTCCCTTAGATATCTAGCAGGTCTGTGAAAGTGATTCAATGACCCCCCCTGCGAAGGGATGAGAGTCTGCCGGTTCTGACCCTTGGCAGCTTTGCTTTTATCTGCTTATCTGTCTACACACCAAGGGCTCTAGTTGAGACTTGCCCTAAAGTCTATATTCATATACCTTTGGCCTCATCAACAACTCTACTTTGCTAAGAGGCATCTGAATTTAGCACACCTAAAACCAAACTCATGATTCCTCAAACTACCCTCACTTACCTTTCCACGCTCCCTTATCTCACTGAATTGTTCCTCTGGATGTTCAGGCCCCAAATTCTGGAGTCATGCTCAACTTTGTCACCTCACATCCTGCATTCATTGCATTCGTAAGCTCTCGGGGCTGTTCCTTCCAAGCAGTCTCCCAGCCCCGTGGATTATTGTCAGCTCTCCGGCACGCACTGTGGCTCAAGGCTTACTGAGATGCCCTCACGCCTGGCCTCCGTGCTGCCTCTTTACCCCCTTCACCCTGCCTCACTCGCAGCTGCAGTGTGTTCCCTTCAGAAACAAGCCCTATCTTAACGCTCCTCTGCTCACCACCTACGTTGGCTTCGCATCTCTCTTAGAGGAAAACCACAGGTTTTGCCAGAGCGTAAGGGTCCATCTAATCAGAGGTGTCTGGTCCCACTCGGAGCTCGTCCCCCCTTTGCTAAGCCGATTCCAGTCACTCCAGCCTCACTGGATGCTCAGGCACTCCAGGCTTGTGCCTGCCATGGAAACTTTTGATAACTACTTACCCTGTGTGGAATGGTGTACTCTCCAAAACCACATATGTTGCTTCTTACTTCTTTCTGCTGTTCGCTCAAAATATCAGCTTATCAAGGAGGACCTCTCAATCTAGTGATTTTAAATGACTGATACATATTCCTAGATAACTTGTTCTACTTAAACAGATCTTCCCAGCTCTTATGATACTATGCATTTATTGATAAATTTTCTTTTTCCTGTAATCCCTACATATCCTAAAATCCAAAAGAACTGAGGCATGTCTGTTGTGTTAAGGTTGTGTCTCTAGCACCTACAATAATACTAGAAACATAGTAGGTGTTCAATAAATATTTGTTAAATAAATGAGTGGGTAAATGAATCAAAACTATGCTTATTTCAAAAGAAATATTCTGCTGCCTCAGTTTTAAAAATCATGGAAATCTCTGATTTCTACATTGGTTGGTGATGCCTTTTTGCATTGCAATGATGCTTAGCTAGTGTTAAAGTTAATTTTAGCAGACCATAAATATACAATAACATACCCATTTTTAACATATTCAGAAAAGGAAACAATAATTTGTGTCCACTGTCTTTGCATGATTTGAATCAGTTCTGTAACTCACTAACAGGGATACAAGTAGTATACAGACAGGATTTAATGGATGTTATTCTGTGTATACATAATCGTCTTTCCTATGCATCTGTTGTTGTTGTTTATTTATCCTTTTTAGGTATTGGAGATATAGTGAAGAAATGAAGACCATGGATCCTGGCTATCCCAAACCAATCACAGTCTGGAAAGGTATCCCTGAATCTCCTCAGGGAGCCTTTGTTCACAAAGAAAATGGTATGCAGCACACGCATTATGTGTTTCATGAGTTTGCTGAGTAAATGAATAATTTATCCTACTCGTTCATTGTGTTAAAAGATTAGATAGTGCCATACGAGGGCTATATCATATTTATATAAACTTTACTTCCTAACTTTGTGTTTAATATAATGCTCAAGATGTTCTTTAGCCTCAACCTATTTTAGTTTATTAAAAAGAGTATTTTAAAAAACTGAAGTGTTAATACCTTTAAAGTAACCTCACCTATTTCCTACTAAGATTCATGTAAAGATAGTAGTAACAGACATATGTGGGGCAGGACTTGATCACAAGAAATGTTTTTAATGTGGGCAGAGTCACAAAGACACCTAGTAATACAGCATGTTGAGGATTGTAATTTTTCATGTATACCTTTAGCTAATTGATACTCCTATATCTGTTGGTTGAGTTTGAACGTTTCTCTCCTCATTCAGAGATTAGTGTGAATGAACCATGATAATTATTCAAAATAAAATTATTCATAATATTCCAGGAAAAGGAAAGTGACATCAAACTGAAATATAGAGGGGAAAAAAAAACATATCTTCTCAAATGGTTTATAATAGCAACAAGAAAAAAATAACATTATGGGGGTACTAAATAGCATGAAAAGTCTATAACATATATGTAATGATAACCAAATAAACATCACTTGCAAGAGCAAAATTAAATGCATCTGGGGGAGGAAAAACCAGAAAAATTTAAGGAAGAAACTGCTGCTGCTGCTAAGTCACTTCAGTTGTGTCCAATTCCGTGTGATCCCATAGATGGCAGCCCACCAGGCTCCCCCATCCCTGGGATTCTCCAGGCAAGGAAGAAACGGGGGGGTATAAAAAAAATCAGTGCCGTCCGCTGAAAACAATGACTGACCATCAACAAATTGCCAGAGTGTAAGCTAGCTTTGTGCTGAATGTACACTGCAGGACCTGAGACCCAGGATGATGCCCGTCAGAACAGCCAGACACAAACTGTGTTTGATCGTCGCTATATGCAATCTATACTACACTCTGTGTGATGATGTCCCACAGGTAAAACACTGTAGGCAGAGGCTCAGTCAGAAAGAATCCTGAAGCCTGACCATATAGTACTGCCTGGAATTGCAGTGCGCTGTGTACTCCAGTTCAGAGAATCAAAGGACCAAATTAAATACAGCCTGTGTGTGACAAAAGCAAAGCCCACAGCAGAGGACAGACTGAGCTGAAACATGTCTGTTTAAGATAAAAAGGAAATCATTAAGAAAACAATGGAAGTCACATAAAGGAATAAAGTCACATAAAATAAAGGAAGTCACAATGCAATCAAACTGGAGGCTGTAAAATCATATCAATAATATGGCAAAAAAAATTTGACAATCTATGCAAATACAAAGGACAAAGAAGTGAACAAAGTTGAAAGATGATCACGTGGAAAGCAGAAAACTGAGATCATGCCCCCAGAATTATAGCTGTCACCAGGAATCTAGTAGAGAAAGGAGACTTCTTGAGGTTAAAGAGGGTTGTTTCAGACCAGGTAAAACTGACTCCAGCTAACATTTACAGAATACCTAGCACTGCTCTAGTCTGCCCTCAATAAAAGTCATCACACACTACACAGAAATACATGCAAAGAAAATTATACCCATATCTTACCAGTGATTAAGCATAGCAAGTTTGATAATAGTTTCTAAAATTTCTTCCCTCTATTAATATTCTAAAATGAGTATAACTTTTATAATAAATATAACTTTAATAATTATTTCAAAAGATTGAAAAAGTGCACATAATCTTAATTCCTAGCATATTAACTGTTTTTATTTTCCCTGTTTCTATTCACAAGGCCACTAAAACCTGAGATTTGATACAGGTTCTCCGGGAATAAACCATAATTGTATAAAAATAACAAAGAAATATTCTTGCTGAATCTTGCCCCATGGTTTTTCACATTCTTGTCCATCTGAAAATGACATTTGTTTAAGATAAATGTTTTTTTTTTTAATTCAGAGTTTCATGTTTTCTTTCCACATAGTAAAGAATAACTTTGTAAAATACTGGCAAAAAAGCAAAGCATGTTGGAAAACCATTGCTTCCAACTGACAAAAACCACAGATGAAACTCCAACACATCTTTGTCTTCTGTACCTTACCGAGTCTAGCCCTCCCTCTAATATCCTTAAATATCGAGCTCACTTTTGATTTTTTAGGAATGCTTGCATATTCTTTTTGTACACTCACCCTTGCACTCAAAATCCCACAGTACAGGCGTCAATTTGCACGCCCATCTGCTGTCACCTGTGGTGTAAATTCCTCACGTGCAGTTGCACAGTAACCAGCCAATAAACGTTGACATTGATTTGACCCCTTTTGTTACTCTACACATTCATCCCATAAACTGAAGGGAATCTCCTATTTGTTTGAAACTCTTGTTCTGCAGGGTAGCAATATTAATCAGTCTGGAAGGTCTTAGCGTAGATAGTTGACCAATAGCAAATTCTCCAATTTTAATTCTCTACTCAAATCTCATACTTGTGCTCTTTAACCTTGAAATTTTACACAATTTCTTCCCTTGTTTGTTATAGGAGAGCTAGCTCAAATTATTGAGTAAGCACATTCATATTTATATTTAGACTTGAAGTAATTCCCTATAAGGGTAACATATGCTTGACAGTCATAAAATCAGAGATGATACAGTAATGAAATGTTTTCTCTAATTCTTCACCCTTCCACCATGGTAGGAGTTTCTTCCTATGGATCATCTCATGGTAGTTTTCAAAGGAAAAAAAAATCCCCAAAAGCTTAATCTTGAGCTATAGATTTTTGAAGTATATTTTCATATTAAGGTGGAATATGCCCTCCTTTAATACCAATGCCTATTGATAGTAATTTTGCCACCTTGACCAATGGAATGTGAATATGTGGTGCTGTTTACCGAGTTCCCACCATCTTTCAACTGTGCTACATAAATTAGTTATCTAACTTCATTGCCCAACACGAATACCTCCTTGCCTCATTTATAATTACTTATAAAAGAGAAAACCAACATCAGCTAGTTTAAGTACTTACTCATGAGCATGAAATTGGTAGTATATGTCTAAGGGTTGAAACTAGAACATTCTAGCCTCACTGAATTGCTCTAATACACTCTTTCCAAAGAGGAAAAGCTAAACCATCTTCTCCTACATTTTATCATTAAGGTAATTTACAGTCTGTCATGTCAGGCTAAATTTTTCATTTTGTCATATTTGATATACCTCAGGTTTTCTTAAAATGTAGTTTCCTAAGCCATCAGCATCCCAATTTTCACCTGTAACTATTCTTAGTTTAATAATTTCTTATTTTCCACTTTATTTTTAGCCTGCCCCTGAAAATAGCTACAATAATCCAAAGGATATTTGACTTAAATATAGTGAAATTACTTCTTGCTATTGACAGTGTTTTAAGCAATGGCATGATTTTTCTTTATCATTTACTAAAATTATAGTGAATAATCACTGCAATTACCCACCTTCAAATCTCGAATTGCTGTCAAGCCCCACCTCCTAGGTATTTTATATTCACTGCTTATAAAATGCAATTTTAAGGTTAATACAAAATTCTACTGTTAACACTGTTTCATTTTGTTTACTGATAACATGTCCACTTTTAGCCTGTTAAAAGTTTTGACTTGATTCTGTTGGTTTATTAATTCTCTAATCCATTCTCACTCTCTGGTAAAATCTGTGAGTGGGATTCAAGCAAACATTTTCACAAGATTCAGTTAATTATTCACATTTATTGAACATTAAGTATCCTCTTACTAATAAATATATGAGTGGAAAACAGAGAGAACACATAGGTACTGCCATGCAGGATCATCTATGAAGTTGTAACAAGACAGCCGTGGTAGACCATGTCTCCTTACATTTTAGGATTAAGCAATAGAACAGTCACCAGTGAAAACCAATCAAATACAGGAGAAAAAAAGCTCATCAAGTAATTCATTACAACCTCACTGACTTCTTTCTCAGAATTTCTCAAAAGTGATAATTCAGGTAAGAATTAATCTCAAATTTCTACTCTTAGTAAGCATATCTACAAGATTATAAATCAAAGTTACTCACAAAAGAAGAAAAAATGAGTACATAAATTTTCTTCAACCCACTGACATTTCTTAAAGGGTAAAAAAGAAACAAATCATTGAATGAGATGAATTTTTCAGGATCAAGGTTGGACAGATTTCTATTATTCTGCTGATGAGACTTCTTGTCTTTAATAAGTGTATTCAGTTCAGTTCAGTCTCTCAGTCGTGTTCAACTCTGCGACCCCATGAATCTCAGCGTGCCAGGCCTCCCTGTCTATCACAAACTCCCGGAGTTTACTCAGACTCATGCCCATCGAGTCGGTGATGCCATCCAGCCATCTCATCCTCTGTCGTCCCCTTCTCCTCCTGCCCCCAATCCCTCCCAGCATCAGGGTCTTTTCCAGCGAGTCAGCTCTTCGCATGAGGTGGCCAAAGTACTGGAGTTTCAGCTTCAGCATCAGTCCTTCCAGTGAATACCCAGGACCTATCTCCTTTAGGATGGACTGGTCCAAGGGACCAGTCCAAGGGACTCTCATTGACAAGTGTATTAGCAAACTACAATTCTACTGTATATGGAGTGTGTTAATAGTGTAAAATTTGACATGCAGACCAAATGATAAATATGAAAATACAAACTTCTGAATTTTTTTATGACACCCAGCAGTTTTCATAGTAATTAGCTTTGACTAAAAGATAAGGACACTTTCAGCTGTTGGCTTCCGATTTACAAATGTAAGAAGTTTGTTCACCTGTTTTGAATGTCTGATTAATTCTAGATCAATGCTATTATTCAACTATGATCATTGAAGATACTGTTATTTGGCAGGCCCTCAACATTTCTTTATCCAGGTTTTTGAGTAATTACATTGGCTTTCATTAACATGATCAAATACCAGCTCCCTGCAGAAAAATTTGAATCTACACACACGAGTTTTCACTTGGCAACTTGTTCTGATTACAAAACTGCCCTTCAAATCTAAAAGCAACAGCCAATTTTCATGGCATTGAACAGAATGATTTCTAGAGTGAAGTGACCTGAGGTGACGATCAATCCTAGCTGAAATTTTTTGAACAGATGTCAGAGGTGTTGTTGTTATTGTTGTTGTTGTTAGTTTAGGAGTGAGATCTATCACAACCTGTGATGTTGAACCAAGCAGTATTCCTTAAAAGATGGAAATCTGTAAGGGACCTAGTCTTAGAAAAATCTTTAAGATTCAGGCGCTAAAGCTAGACCAAGATTTAAATCCTTTTTCCAGCAGTATTGGGCATATCATTTTATCGCTGAGCTTCAGTGTCTTTGCCTGAAAAATATAGGGATCTCCTGGAGAAGGAAATGGCAACCAACTCTAGTGCTCTTGCCTAGAAAATTCCATGGATGGAGGAGCCTGGTGGGCTACAGTCCATGGGGTCGCAAAGAGTCGGACACGACTGAGCGACTTCGCTTCGCTTCACTTAATTCTACCCGACAGAGTGTTTATGAGAATTAACAGATGTCCTTTACTAAGTATTTGGCTCAATGATTCTCCCATAGTAAGTGATTATTAATATACGAAAAACTCTCATTAGTGATTATTAACTCAGAAAGTAGGCATACTGTTCAAAATCGGATAGCTCCCAAAATATAGTTTTTAAGTGATTATAACATTAAAACCTTTCTTTTTAGTTTGTTGAATTTTATCTCAAAGCAAGAATTAAAGTGAAGTCACAAAGAAACTTGACATGAAGAAACTATGGACAGAAAGAAAAACCTGGACTTGTTCCTGGGAAAAACAGCAAAAGTTAAGAGAAAAGTCCTAAGAAAAACACATGTATTTGTAGTTTAACGTCACAAGTTTACAAGTCTGTTATCTGCATCCGTAATATTTTGGAACACAAATTATATGTGTTGCTAAGTTATCTGAGCCTTCTACATCCTACCACCTCCTCCTCCATGAAATATAGGTTAGCTGGAAGTTTTAAAGATAGAATTATAGATTTATTTACACTCTATTAATCCTTTACTCTAAAAGGATTAATAATGGCTTTTGAAGTTCTGTAAAATATAGCTAGATGATAAAAATTTAACCTAGTCTATAGTAAAGTTAAATAACATGGCCAAAAGGAGAGACAAAATGGGCATGACCTAGAGCTGAAAATGAGATTACTGCACAAAATACAATAAATATATATTTAATTATTAAAATTCCTAGCAGACCAAAGAAATCATGTCCAGTTTCATGATTTATGTTTTCTTATGATTTCTTTCCCAAATGACAAAACAAACTTGTTTCTTAACAGGAGTACAACTATTCCCAATCTTAAGATGATTAGAAATTTCCCTTGAACTATTTTACAGAGACGCTTCCTTTTAATGTATTATGTAATGTCCTTAATAGCTGCATTAGGGCTAACAGGGCTTCTGTTTATAAGGCTGTTTCAGTATCATTTAATACAGGTTGGTACGCTCACACTAATGTGTAATTCTGCACCAGTAATTCTATAAGCTAGCAGCGGAGTTGATGTGTATAGCATGGGCTTTTAACAACTCTGTATCAATAGTATTTCTTTCTCCCTGTTGAGCCATCACTAGGCATTTGCGGGTCCGGTTTCTGGACCACAGCAGCCAGATCCATATCAACAGACAGCTGAGCTGGGAATAGGGTTGTCTTCCTATAAAAGTGGAGTGGCCTTAAAATACATCTTTTAAGTAGCTTGTTTATTTACATTTCTGTATGTCTACCCATTTACAGATAAGTGATTCCTGTATGTGTGTTTCCGCCCACCCAGGCTTTACCTATTTCTACAAAGGAAAGGAGTACTGGAAATTCAACAACCAGATACTCAAGGTAGAACCTGGATACCCCAGATCCATCCTCAAGGATTTTATGGGCTGTGATGGACCAGCAGACAGAGAGAAGGAAGGACACAGCCCGCCAGACGATGTAGACATTGTCATCAAACTGGACCACACAGCCAGCACTGTGAAAGCCATAGCCATCGTCATCCCCTGCATCTTGGCCTTATGCCTCCTTGTTTTGGTTTACACCGTGTTCCAGTTCAAGAGGAAAGGAACGCCCCGCCACATACTGTACTGTAAACGCTCTATGCAAGAGTGGGTGTGAGGGAGGGTTTTTTCCCTTTCTTTCTTTTCTAGGAGTTTGTGGTAACTTGAGATTCAAGACAAGAGCTGTTATGCGGTTTCCTAGCTAGGAGCAGGCTTGTGGCAGCCTGGTTCGGGCTGACCTTTCAAACCCAGAGGGTTGCTGGCCCCGCGCGTGAGTGGAAATCACTCATGGGGAAGCTTCCGTGATGGACAGTATCTGCTGGTCTTCAGTCCTTTGTCTGTCTCTGTCCTTCGGTTCTAGGCCTTTCCTCTGCACGCTCAATGCCCAGTTCATTTCCAGGATTACCTAAAGAGGAAACAGAAGAAAAGGTTCTTCTTAAAGGTTTCTAATATTATGTTTTGTTTTGTTTTGTTTTTCTGACGTCTGAGCCCATTTCTGGGGGGAGAAAAGCAAAATGGAAAACCCACGCATTTTTGCTTCATAGCAAGGAAAAAGAAAAGGCTAAACAAATAAAACCCACCATTGAACTTTCAGGAAAGTGTGAAGACCCAAAACAGCTTCGTCTCCAAAGAAGATAGCTCTCTGACTGCTATGGGTAGTCTCCTATGCTTCATTTTTGTCAGGTGGGAGACCTGGAATACACATGCAGGACTTTAGACTGTTGGGACGGCCATTTTCCAACAAACAAGGGGCCAAAATATCTGCAATATAGTAACAGCCTTAATACTACATCCATTTTTCATTTTATACAGCTGTTCTCAGCTATGTCTTCAATGTTTCATCACATTTATATTCACAGCTACATTCAGATGGGACCTTTTGATTGTTTTGAAGTGTTTCCAAGCCCCTTCCTGCCACCTCAGCCCGACATCATTGTGATAATCTCCCCGACTTGTACTAGGCCATTGCCCCAGGCCTTCCATGGGTCTGTCAGGAATATTCATTATAAGGGGAACTAGAAGCAGTATGTCCTTAAAGTGGTTTAAAGTGACAGTCGTTTTCTAAGAGTATGTGATGCTAGTACTATATTGGTGTAACCCTTTGAGAACTATCAAATCAGCTTTCAGAGTCTTAGGATCTGGTAAATTAGAGAAGTGGGCAATGGTAAAAAACAGGCATAGGTTCAAGGAGTTCAGGTTTTTAAAACAGATATCCTATAGCCCCATGTAATTTTAGGTGATTTACAGTACTACATAAATGCATTTATAACAAACAGAAATGATGTTACTTGCCAAACATTTTCTGGCAAATAAAAAGGTATTTTATTAAATATCTTGTAAGAGTGAAATTTTATTTGAACCACTGATCATAACAGCCTGTCTTTTTTGTTGTCGTTGTCGTTGTTGTTAGACACACTGATTTTCTGTTTTAAAATCCATTGCATGAAAAGTCAGTTTTGCCAGGGAACATGCCGTTAGCATTGCCATCTTACGAATGAATTAAAATGATGACTCTGAGATTGCATGAATATACTCCAGTGTATTAGCTATTGCATGTTAACCATAGTTCTCAAAGGGTTAGTGTGGCTTCTGGCATTTAGCCATCCATTTGATCGCTGACAGAGCCAAGAGACCACCAAAGCATCTCATTGTTGAGTGTAATTTGTCCTCACAGCAGTATTGTCATTTTCATGTGACCTGCAGAGCAGGTTTGTATCAATATTTTTTTCCTAGAGAAAAGTCAGCAACTGACAGACCTCTTAATTGATTTTTTTAGGAGCTGCTTCTTGCAGTGAAAGGCTTTACAGCCACTGGGCTGTGAACTTATTAGAGATGGTCAGAAGGAATGCACCCCATGAGTCAGACATTGGCTTTGTGTGAAAGCCAGCTTTTGAGGGGATTAGCTTTTGAAACAATGAACAGCTTGCCTTGAACTTGATTACTGATCTGTTGACTGTCATTAACAACTTAAACATTATCTTCTGTGAAAATTTTCCTTGAAGAGTCCTGTTCTATGTCTTTGCCCTTTGACCTTTAACTTGCAAACTGGCACAAACTGAAGGAAATTTGGTCTTGCTTCTCCACTGGAGTGTTAATTGACCTCTAAAATCCTAATAAGCATGAGCTGTTTCCTTAGAGAGAAAAGGCGCGTTGATGGTGGATCCGCAGATGGACATGTTGCTCTTTACATGCACACTTTAAAAATGCCCTAAAGGTAGAAGTGACTTTTAATTTTCCTTTAACATAATTTCAAGTCTAAATTCATCATTTTAGTACAAATATAAAACTATGGGGTTAAAAAAAAAAAACCTCAAACTACTTGAATGGCCAGTGTGGCTTTTATATAAAGCAGGAATTTTATACTAGTGAAAATTTCTTACTCATTTACTAATGATACACATTTCCAGATGATTTTAATGAGTGTGGGTATATATTCTTATTTGGAAATGGATAGTTTGGCTGCCTTGAATTTGTATTTATACTCAACATAGCATGAAAATTAGAATGCCTTTCAGTTAAACTACATGTTTATAATTCGGTTGGGAAAAATATTTTGTAATCGTGGATGGCATGTTGCAAAGCCTTGCAGACTGTTATTTCTTACAACCTAAATGTAAAATGAGACTGGGAGAAAAGAATAGTTTAAAGAAAGAAGAATTGCTAGTGACTTTACAGCAAAACATTATGCAACAGCAGACTGTATTTTGACAAGATTCTAATGGAGATTATATATGTGAGGGCCAAGAAGCAAGGGGAGAGACCAGCATGAGCCCTGTAGCTTTACTTTAGTGCTTCCATTCTAGAGGACGCTGGTGTTATAAGGTCAGTCACTGTTACTGAGCTTGAAGGAAGGACCACATACATAAGCTCATTTATATGATATTTGCTTGTGGGTGGGTTTAATGTTTTTCGGACCTTGATGCCAAGAAAAAAAAAAAAGACTGGAAATTGTATTTTGCTAAAGACTGAAATGAGGAACTATGTCATTTGAGGACATATGTAACTCATTGAGGAATTCCATCAACCTGCATTGAAAATTGATTTTTTTTTCCCTCTAAAATGAGAAAGAAACTAAAGAAGCAATCTTTGGCCTCTTTACTCATTTTCACAATATCCTGATTCATTGTAAGACTATAAATATATAAGGGCTAGAAAATAACCATAGCATTAAGAAGAGAAAGACTCTATCATTATGCTTGCATTCTGGAAACATCATGGAAAAGTGTTGGGTCATATTTTTTTTCAAAATGAAATGAGATTTATGTGATAAGAAAAGGCATATATAGCTAACCTCGTAATTAGAACTTTGAATTTTCAGGCCGTGAGATTACAAGAGATAAGAAAACATTAAGTATGACATATCACAAACATTGGGGTTCTATTTGCTTATTGTACACCAGGCACTTTGTATGGTTGCTAACTCTACTTTCACTTGGGGTTTGGAGAAAATGTCAATCTTAATGGAACAGTGGAAGGGAGGGTGAGTAATTGGTCTAGCACACTGATTCAAAACCAATGTGAATAATAAAAACAGTTTAGTATCAATAGAGGTATACACCCAGCAAATATTTTTCAACATTCTATCACTGATAATATGGAAATTTCAGACCTAGGGTTTCCTAAGTTGAAATGAAAACACATTCACAATCGCAAAAAAGAATTCGCTTTCTGTTTCATTATTTCTCATTACTTTAAATACAAATGTAAACTAAGTAATGTTTTTACATAAATTAACTATAGAGTTTACAATTTTAGCCAAATATTATTTTTCTATATATTATTACCTGGACTGAATGAAATATTAAAATAGCCAATCAGTCTGTATTCTCTATAAAGCAGTAAATCCACATCAGACATGTGGAGGTGGTTGTGCATTTAACTGTTATAGAACAAAGTTGTCTTTGACATGGCACCAGAACGGGTGATTACGGATGCTTTTTACAATCACAAAGATAATATGGATAAGTTAGAGACCATCATATGATACTAGCAAAGACAAATTCTGCTTCAAATCAGAGGGCAAGGCTTTTCTGAGTCAGATTGTAATAAATTACTAAGTAATACTTTACAAAATAATTACTAAGTAATAAAGGATAGAGACTGATTTACTGAAATGAGAAAATTTTACTTCTAATATTCAAATTGCTTTTCATCTTTTTCTATTGGCATATAATTTGTCATATATGATATACTTGTTTTTATTCACTTTCTATGGGTGATTTAAAAAAACACAGTGTGGTGGATGAGAACATTGCCCAACTTCACTGACAATTCCAATACCTGGGTGATGTGTACATACTGGATCCTAGGGATAGTAATAGAATACTTTTCATTTCTACATATAGGCTGGTGTCTCTAGGATGCTACAAATACACATCCATGCTTTGTGGATCTTATAGTAGAATATGCAGTGTGTCCGTATTGACTAAACTCAATGTGCTACCTGAAGAGAAATGGATATTATAATCAAATAGACTGAAAATAATCTTTTAACACAAAAGTCATGAAAATAATCTTTTTTTTTAAGTTTTGGAATTATTTCCAGAAACTAATAAAGCAGTGATTTATGATAGTATTGAATCTGTGAGACTATAACATATACTGAGAAAACCTTGTAGCTGGTGGTGAAATCTTTTTCAGTAAACATAGCAGAGAATTCATTTAACTTTTGATTCTCTCAAGAACACATTCCAAAATATCAGATGTTAAACCAGAACATACTATCTAAACCCAAAATGTTGAATTCAGATGATGAGCCATTACAAATAGCAGTGAGTCTAGTCTTATGATATTACAAAAGATTTCATGTCAATATCTAACCATTACATTGCATCTCACACACCTTCATGATTTATTTATTTATGATGTGACTTATGATCACAGTTTATAACTGCCAGAGCATATGTATCTATGTTACAGAGTCTATGTTGCCTAGTAGAGAACCAGCTTCAGCAAAGAAGTTATATTTAAAAAGTTAGAGCTTCCTAAAGAGAAGAAAAACTTTGTAATAACGAATGCAGCAACCAGGCATTGCACCGCACTATAAATATGAATGCTAAATTTCTTAGCATAGAAGTGAAAGAAGAGGAAAAACGAGTTTTTGTAAAATATACAAAACATCCTACCACATTCTTTAATACAACTGGAAATTTTACTTTAGCCAGTGTAAAAATAGTAGAACCATGGAACTTCAAGCTCTTCACAGAAGTGATGAGCAAGTGATATATCAATGTATATAATTAGACATTGGTTATTAGCTGTTACCCTGCATAAATACATCTGGTACTCATGCATTGCCTTCTAGGCTAAAAATGTCAACGTTAGATGTTCAGTAAACTCAATTGGAAAGATCTATATAATACTAGAATTTCCTAAGAAAAGCCATGTCCCTAGGATAGAAATTTACCTCAGTAATCATATAACACAGAGCACTTGGCACAGTAGCAAAGGCGTTGCCTTAGTGTCTCGTCTCATCTGATTGTAAGCGTTGTCTTTCACGTTCTACTCACATCATTTTTCATTTGTTTCCTTTGGTGTAATTTTGAAATGATTCTGATATATTTCAGGTCAAATAACACCCAGTTGCAAATATCTCTTGCAACATTTTATACATATATCTACTTTGAAATTTAAACCAATAGTATATAAAGCCTAAGAATGAACATTGATTTGACAAATTCAGAGAAATGGGGTGTAAAACAGATGTAATATTGCAAAATTTCTGTCAATTTTCTGGTATAATACTGAAGTATCAGCCTTCAATTTCTAAACACAATTGTGGGCTTATAACTGGATGGGGCATGTATTATTTTTTAGAACAAAGCTAATTCTTTACATGAAGTAAGATATGAGATCATGAGTGCTATAGTGCAGTTCCTCAGGCACTTGTAACTAGAGCTCTTTAAAGAAAATGAAGGTGTAACCAGTACTTCATGTTTAGTCCATAAGTATAAAAAGGTACATGTTCTGAAGTTTTATGAAGATAATTCTGAAGATTTATGAAGACTCTATGCTTTTTCGTTTTAAAGAGCAGCAGGCCTTAAAATGTGTCTTGCTAGCTTTGGACTGGGCATAATGTCCAGGTTTGCACGAGCCCCTTTTACATCCAGGAGCACGCTGGACGGTATAGGACAATTACATCGTAAACTAGAATGTTTTGCTGACGCACTTAACTATGCCTTGTCCTCTGCTACAGAACTGGATCTACGTGCCCTTGAGAAGGGAGAAGAAAATCAGTTAAATATAAATATGAAAAGACGTTAATTGTATTATGTTAGATCATGTAGCTTCAGAGCAAGATGTTACTTACTCTCATTTTGTATAGAAAAACTGGAAGGAGAGAATGGCAAACATGAATGAAATAATTCACTTTTAGACTTACCAAGATGTTTCTTGAGTATCTTCTCCACTTGTCTTATCCATGAACAAATATCATTCACAACACAGACATTTCTGTAGCACTTGATCTGTAGTTAGATTGGATCCCAGAAGAAATACTTCTGGACACAGGCCTTTTTATACATGCCTCACGTAAGATGAGCTTCAGTGAGATATGACTGCATGGTAGGATGCTTTTTCCTAGGATAGGCTATGGTGCTGCTTGAACTTGCCACCTTTATTTGAATGTATGTTTCTACATTGGCCTGTCTTGCCAAGATATAGATGAATAAAGCCTGGTGTGAGCTGTTAATTTGACAAGTCACTAGAATGCATGTTTCATTTGCTCCTATGTAATGTCAATTTGATCTTGTTCCCATTCTATATACTGACAACCCAGTTGTGAAAACATGCTTTTTCTTGAATGAATCATTCAACCCTTAAATCAATGTCATAATTTTGCTACCACTGAAATATCATAGAGGCCACATTTTTGACTGTCTTCTCACAACTCTTTAGTATATAATATTGCTTGGGTATAAGTAGGTTTTTAATTATTTTTGTCACTTCTTTTGTATCTGATTATTCCTTTATATATTCCTGAATACAAAATTTGACAATTCAGTTACTTTTTTAATTCAAAAAAAAAAAAAAAACAAGAACATGATTTGCAAACAAGTATGTGTGCCTGATTTTTCTCTTCCTTCAATTTTGAAGTGTTTGCTTGCTTTTGTCACCCCAAAATACAGATGGTTGGGAGGGATATATTATTTTGTGCTGTTCTGTACAGTCTATGCCTATATTTGCATTCCTTTCTATTTCTACCTTGTCCACCCCCTTTCTAAACAGATTTGATTTTCCCTTCCCTTTGTGAAAACCAGAAATGAACAGAATTGTACATCATATGTGGTGCCCT